TCTGCTAAGTGGTAGTTTGATTTGCCACTTCTCGTTTCCATTTTTTTTCTTTTTCCATCCCACTCTCTGACACCAATTTATTATTTATCTGCTTGTTTGATAATTTCCGGTAAAAACTCTTTCCAAAAAACTTCAATGATACAAGTCCCTTCTTGATTAAAACTAGTTTATTCTTTCTCAATACAACTTTTTAGTACACAGAATTTCCATAGTAACTTTAAACTTAACAACCTTTATAACATATGCTATAAATCACAGTGATTCACACACTTTACTTACGGTGCCTACTGTTCGCTTGACTCAATTAGCCATCTATCACTTCAATCACGCTGGTTTTTCTCGCCAGGCTTATATACTAAAAAGAGGACGTCTCGATCAGACTAGAGTTGCCAGGCAAATTCATGATCCTTCGAGAAACTCCAGTGCTCATGCTCCCAGCGTCACATGACTTCCGCTGTCGTAACAATATATATAACTTATGTTATAAGCTCTTCTTTTTGCCAATTGTCGAAATAAATGGCTTTTACTTATATTTCTTAACAGTATAATTATATACTATGTTGTAATTGGACTTAGGATTCTTCTAGGTCTACAGTACCCTACATGTCTGTGACTTGTTAATGTTAGCGATAAATTCAAGGATGAATAAACAGCACACACACTTGTTTTCAATTCAAATAATATATATATATTCGGAATAAGTTAATAGTGTTACGTCAGCGGAGGTCACGTGACGCTAGTAACACGCCACGCACTTCTAGAATGTTCATGAAGCGTCGGGAGACTACTAGATATAGGGTAGTCTTGTATATATATAAGACCAGCCAATAAGCAACGGGAACATTGTGTAATTGAACTGCCGACAGAGTATTGTTGAGTTGAGCACGTGAGATGTTCGTTGTGAATTATAGCGTTTGTTATAGCGCGACTGTGGAAATTAAGTGTATTGCAAAGTTGTATTCAGAAAGAATAAACCAATTTTATTTAAGAAAGGACTTGTGTCGCTATAGTTTCTACGGAAAGAATTTTTGCGGAAAATGAACAAACAAAGGAAGATGTAACAGCAGTTTCCTTCTCCAAGGGTTATGGTATGCAGATGGGGTGACCTCTTTTCTCTTATAATCATGTGTTGTGCTATCACTAGGGGGAATTCACAAAAGATAGATGATCGAGCAAATCCACTGGTGACTCTATCCTTGATGATTTTCTGCAAGTAGTTTCAACAGGAACTCTGGACTCTTTAGCATGTTGACTTTCCACAAGCAAATTCCTTTTTGAAATTAGTCAGTTAGCCATTCTCTCACTGATGTATTTCCAAAGGCGATCATGATGGATGATCTTTGGCTTCCAATATCTGGATTTTGAAAATCACATCATGGATTTTTTTATATCCAGCCACTTTTGGGATTAAGCCCAAAACTTTCTTCACTTCTGGTGGCAACTTTCCACTTTTTATTACCAAAGTGGGTCAAACTTTTGTACTTATAAAACCAGTGTCAATCAACATACTACAAGACTTCCCATAAATAAACTCATGAACTAGTAAACTGATTTCCTTAAATAATGAATGTCTTATCTTATTTTGGGTAGATTAAGTATTCCCAGCTGATCTTTGTCCAATACATTCAGCTAATTCCTGTATTTGTATGTCTGGTTAGCTCTTTGTTGTTCCCTTGATTTGGTTCGGGTCTGAGACATATCTTTAGGGTATTGCCTCCTTGGTTTAGTAATAGCTGTTGATTTCCTACAGCCTCAGCTGCAATAGCCAGGTTTCCCTCACCTTTAACAGTTCTCTCTTTCCCTTTGGGAAAAGTTCTTGATCCATATAGATTTTTGTTTACAGTTCCTGGCAATATGTAATTTCAAATTAAACTTAAAACACCTATTGTATTGTGGTTTATTTTCTCCATTCTATGTAAATAGTAGTCTAAAAAATCGTTTTAGCTCTATTGTTAGGGGGAATTCATGTTTCAATACTATTCGATTTCATGATCCCATAAATTCGAGATTGTATTTTTAGTTTTCATCTTCAACGTTAATGGATTCAAGTTCCATTCAAGTTTCTTTAAAGATATACACCTATTCGCTTTGGGCTAATTCTCATATCCTCGTCTATTGTGGCATCTATAAATTGGTCATGTGTCAACAAATCCATTACTTCACGTGTAGCATCTCGATATTCTGCACATCTGGTTAAAGTTTCTTCTTTCCTTCGTATCATATCCCAGAAATTTTCTTTAGATACTTCCATTTGTACTCATTTAATTTTGTCATTACACCTATTCTGTAGTTCTTAAATTTTGTCATTACAACATTTCTGTACTTGTTTAATTTTGTCATTACATCTTTTCTGTACTTCTTTAATTTTGTCGTTACAATTGTTCAGAAGTTCTTCAGTTTGTCATTATAGCCTTTCTTTACTTCTTCAATTTTTGTCATTATAACTTTTCTGTTAGACATGCATGACTGTTTCCATTTAAGTTTAATGTGAGAGTTATTATTTAGATAGTTATATAGCATGAGTGTTGCTTCCCAGTGGCACAGCAGTATGTCTGTGGACTTATAATGCTACACACCAGGTTTCGATATTTGTGGTGGGCAGAGCACAAATAACCCATTGTGTAGTTTGCGCTTAACTACAAATTAACAAACAAACAAACAAAAGTGTGAGTGTCAAATTTAGTTATTTTCAGAAGCTATAATTTATTGCAGGTTTGTTTATGTACTTCTTTATGAATCATACATTGTATAATCCGTTTGTTGTGAATTGTCAATTCTTGTATTATTGCATCATGTTACTAGAACCTTCTAAGTTTTCTCATTGTTTTAATCGAGTATTATTGCTTCATAATATATTATAGGTGTGCAGCGTTCTAGGCCTCAGTCTGGCTATAAATACATGTCCAAATTGATGTTTAAGTTAGTTATTTAGATAAATATACTTAAGTTAGATTTAGACTGTGTGATTGTGAGTTTAGCCATAAATAGCATATAGTGGTGATTTTTAAAGTGAAATTATTACAGATTATATTGTAACAACAGAGTAGAGAAGAGTAAGTTGTTGTATCAATTGTGTTCTAAAGTACCTGAACCAGCCTGTGTGGAGTTTGATGAAAAAGAGACAATATTTAAAGCTCTGTATACAACTGTGGTAACCTACAGTGTGAAGAAGAAGGACAGCTCAAACTACTTCTTTATAAATTTCCAGAAGCTGAATCCCATGATAAAGTTTGCCTCCGAACCTATGGGAAACCCAGAGGCTATCATGGCGAAATTAGATGGGGCCAAGTTCTCTACAAAGATCAAACACAGTAAACGCTATTGGTGGATCCTGATGGAGATAGAATCTAAGAGAAGACAGCCTATGTGACACCAGAAGATGCTACCAGTTTAAGAGAATGCTCTTTGGATTAGTCAACCCAGCAGCAAAATTCAACTGCATAATGAGAAAGATGTTGCACAAAACTACCAACATTGAACATTATGTGGAAGACATCCTGATTCATACAACTAGATGGGAAAGACCATCTGAAGAAACTCAGAGAGTTGTTTGGGGAAGTGAGGGCAGCAGGTGTAACCATCAGACCATCTCAGCACAACATTGCTTATTCCGTGGTGAACTTTATTGGACACAGTGTGGTTTATTGACAGATTGCAATGGAAAAGGAGAAGCTAACCCTTATACAAGATGCACCAGCTGTGACAACCAGGCAGCAAGTCAGATTCTTACTGAGGCTAGTAGGATACTATAAGAAGTTCATCTCAAACACTGAAGTCACTGCACCACAAAATGACTTGACCAGAAATGGCCAACCCAACAAGATGAAGTGGAAACAACCATTGCAGATGGCATTCTAGAAGTTGAAGAACAATGTTAGGAAGTTCGCCAATCCTTAGCATGCCAAACTTTAACAAACCACTGATCATTCAGACTGATGCACCAGTTGTTGAAATTGGAGAAGTACTTTTTTAAGAACATGAAGATGCACTGTTTCCTATAATTAATGTCAGTAAAAAGCTGCTGAGTAGTGAGAAGAACTACTCTGTGATTGAATGAGAGTGTCTGGTCATCATATTTGCCATCTACAAGGAGGAGTTCATCATCTAGACAGACCATCAACGTTGGATATACAAGACTATTTAGTTTAAGAGTTATTATTTAGTTTATTTAGTGATCTAATATTTAATGATTATTTAGTTTTCATAACAAGAGTGTTAAAGTTAATTATTTTAAAAGCAATAGTTATAGTAAGTGTTGGTACATAACTCTGTTTGACTCTTCTGTTGTGTATGCAGTTTAATTGTTGTACTAGGCTTTTGTAATATTGTTGATGTTATCTTACTCGAAGCTTCTAAGTTTTCTTGTTATGTTTAATATTGTTGCTATTAGAGGGCTAGATATTTCTAGATTTTTCTGTTGTGTGTTATAAATATGTGGAGATACAGAGTGCAAGAAAGAAGTTGAAGTAAGTTAGTAAAAGTGAAGTTAAACTGAATGGTTGTCAGTTTAGCTGTAATGAGCGATTTATAAAGAGATAGTTTCACAGTTTGTATTGTAACAACAAAGATATAGAAGAATAATTTGTCTTGCCAAAGAGTGTTCTAAATTAATTGAACCAATCTGTGTGGACGATAAAAAGGAGACAATTATTTAAAGCTCTGGATACAACCATGGTAACCAACAGTTATAGTGGGGAGTTCAAAGTGAGTATCACAGCCTTATATTGTTATAAAAGAATAGAAAAATTCATCTTGTCATTGAGTTATAAAAGAGAATTATTTAAAGCTCTGGAGACGACTGTGGTAACCCATGGGATAATGTACGTGAATTTATCACTGATTGTATTGTGATAATGGAGGATAGAAGAAATAATCCACCTTGTCAGTTGGATTCTAAAGTAAGACTGTGTGAACTTATGTCGAAAAAATATAATTATTTAAAGCTCTAGATTCAACTGTAATAACGAATAGTGTAAAGAATTTTTGTACACATGTTTGACTTGTTTTGAATATGTATGTTGTTTTAAAACAAGTGGATTGTGCACTGTCCATTTATTGTTGATATTTATCACCAACAAGTCACAGACATTTACTGTAAAGTATTCGGCCCCCATAAAACTGACAACCAGCCCATTGTATACATCCAGAGGTGCAAAACTGATAGTGCAAGGATCATGAGATAGGCATTGTACCTCCAAAACTATCAGTTCTGCATTGAGGCCATCAAGGGGACCTCATATATTGGTGCAGATTGTATGTGTAGACTTTGTGCATGAACTAAAAACAGTCTTTGTATATGATATAAAAATATTGTAAGTAGTTTTCTTGAAGAGTGGCTTATTGTTAGATATACATGACTGTTTCTGTTTTAGGTTTAATGTGAGAGTTATGATTTTGATAGTTATATAGGGCAAGATTTCAATTTAGTTATTTTTAGAAGTGAAAATCTATCAGAGGTTTGTTTATGGAACTGTTTATGAATCATACATTGTGTAGTTAAATTGTTGTGAACTGGCAATTGTTGTATTATTGTATCACGTTACTAGATCCTTCTAAGTTTTCTCATTATTTTAATTGAGTATTAATGCATCATAATATTTTTTAGTTTGTGGAATGTGCTAGGCCTCGGTCAGGCTATATATAGGCATCCAAAATGTAGTTGAAGTTAGTCAGTTTGATAAATTAGGTAAGTTAGATCTAGACTGTGTGATTGTTAGTTTAGACATAAAGAGTGTATAGTGGTGAGTTTTTAAAGTGAATCTTGTCAATTGTGTTCTAAGCAAATGACCCAGCCTTTGTGGATTTTGAAGAAAAAGAGACAATTATTTGAAGCTGTGGATACAACTATGGTAATCAATAATATAATGAACATTTGTATATATGTTTGACTTGTTTTAATATATTATTTTAAAACAAGTGGACTGTGTGCTGTTTGTTTATTTTTGATATTTATTGCCAACAAG